TTGGATTTTTTTTTTTCCTTCTTATGGATTCGGCGGAGTAACTTTAATGCAAGGATGTCAATTTTGGTAGATTTATTTTTCCACTAAAATAAAAACAGATATAAATATAAAATTTCAAAACAGAGATAAAAATATGTATAAATTTTAAATATTCATTCCGAAAATGAAGACAAACAATATAACACCAACCCAAAATATATTTAATTAATGTATAAATTTTATTTAAAAATTAGATATCAAATAGGTCATATTAGGTCAACATAGTTTATTTAAATATTAATTCATATGTTAATAGAATATGTCGATTCAGCATTATTTTTAAATTTGTTGTGCTGACACAATTTATAAAGGTTAAAGATATGGCCGCATGACACATGACCCATAATTTTCATGAATCATGTCATGCCAAACACAACACTATTTTTATGTTAAGCTAGATCAAACACATCTCATTAACACTTTTTCAAATTTTTAATTATTTTAAATTTTTTTTTTTGCAAAATTTATACATCTATAGAGATGGATAATAGAATCCATTAAATAAAGATATTGGAATTACAATTTTAATTTTTTTTTCAAAAGAACACACATACACATCATTTATACAAGGCCCAATAATATACATATAACTAAAATTTTATCAACTGATCCAATATCAAAAGTAAGTTAAATTCTAAAAGAAATTTTTGATAAACTAGATATTAAATTTTTTTTATGTGAAAAAATATTTTAAAAGCTTGTAATCTAATAGTATTTCTTGAAATTGTTTTATAATTGGGTACTATACCATTTCTAATTAATTATTAAAATATTCATCATCTACAAAAACAAATAGCTACTCAAACCACATTATAAATTTAGCTAATTGATTACACAAATTATATTGTGCAAAATAAAATGCACTTAAAGACTCATTAGAATGCCAATTAAGTGTAGTATGTCTGGGATCATTAGAAGCAGCAAATGCAGCCTCGTTTATTTTCTTATGCCTTTCAGATGAGCAATCTCTCCTTTTGTTTTACCACTAAAGTCTTATATATATATGTTATTAGTTTGAATATTTTGATCATATAACTTTGAAAAGAATGTTAATTTGTTTTTATACACACAAATTTAAATAAATAAAAATAATCCGTACATCGAACGGTTGGCAAACTATTTAGATATAATTTATCTATCAATAATTTAAATATTTAATAAGTACATTTATTTAATATGATTTTACTATATAAATTACTAAAAAATATATAATTTTATTAAAATATAAAAAATAATATGAATACACTCAAAGGCTAGAAACTCATTTACAAGGTCAAATTGTACAATAAATCTCTATGCTTTAGTCAAATGATGAAATTAGTCCCTTTTACCTTAATGTGTTCAAATTAAATCTTTATATTTCAATAAACTATCAAATTTAGTCAAATTATTAATGGTTCAAATTTTTTTTGTTAAAATTAATGATGTGAAATTATAACTTTTTTGACGTGATATATTTGTTACGTGGCCGTTAACTTTGCTGACATGTCAAGTCTACGTGGTAAGATGATGATGTGGCAAAAAATTTTGTCACATCAGTATTTACTACATCAATTTTTCTCAAATTGTATGACTTACTTATATACTTTGATTAAATAGTAAAATTTATTCTTCTACCTTAATGAGTATTCAAATTTGGTTCATATATATTAATTAATCATCAAATTTAAGATTTGACCTAAAATAAGTAAAATAAAGCTAAAAAAAAACCCAAAAAGCTTTTTAATGTATATAGGTAGAGTCATAATAGAGTCAATGCATGGGTCAACACACAAATTATGCCAAACCCATATTCTAAATCGATAACATTTCAACCTATTATAAAGACAAAAAATCAATTTTTAAAATTTTCCTCTTTTTTCCTCTCTTTCATCCTTATTTTCTTCTTACTTCTCTCTACAATACTACAAGAAATCTAACATCAGTATAGCACTATAAACTCCATATCGATGGTCAAAATATGTATTCTGATGAATTTTTAACCATCAGTATATCTTTTGTCGGTATAGACCTATACTAATGATTTTTAAAGTTTCGAAATAGCTTACAAAGATATACCTATGATTCAAGATTGTCAGTAAATGTATATCTATTGGTATAACATCTGTTATATGTTTCACTACTAAACCTTTTATTGACAGTTAACACCCATCAGTATAGATTTATATGTTTTAATTTTTTTTGCCTATACCGATGGTTAATGCTCGTTAGTATAGACTCGTATGTTTTAAGGCATCAATATAAATTTTAAGGCGTCTGTAAATTTTTTTTTGAATTATATTTTGAATTATTAATATTAATTTATTTATAATCATAATATGATATGGTTTCATATAAAGAAAAAATACATAAAAAAGTAAAAATATTTAATAACATTTGAAATAAAACAACCAGATTGTTTTATAATCTACAAATTTAAAATAAGTCAAGAACTAACATCATTGTACCAAATCTAAAAAAAAAAGAACATTAATATCTACGATTGAATGTTTTACAAACATGGTGCTCAAAGTTTATATCAAAGAATCCTCTTGGTGTTATTACTAATGGTTAAACCTCAAATCCTCTATATATATTTTGAACAATGTTTTGAGGATTGTTCACATTAGATGCTTATTGATTTGCTACAACTCTTGTTTCAATACTAGAGCCACATAATTCATTTCCTGATTGCCAGATTGTTATTTAAGAAATTTTTGTAAAAGTGAAACAGGCATTAAAATTTCAAAAAGAAGAGTTTTTTTTTTTTTTTTGTGATGTTTTTATCTAAAAGGCCTAAGAATAAGCTGCTTACTAGATTAAGAAGAAAAGCCCTTCTTGAGCTACATGTTCCATAGTCACATTTATCAATAAGCCACCAATCCACAGTAGAATAGATGAAGTTATCATTTATTTTTTCTATTGAAGTTGTTCCATTAACAAAAATAGTGCCTCTAATAACATTTTCAAGCCCTCATCTACTTTTTGAGTTGACAAACACTGAGCCTAGATTCATCCAATACAGCAAAAAATACAAAAAAAAGACATGCTCAATGACATAAAATTAAAATGCAAAAAATGAAAAATACCTTTGAAAAATGACGAGAGTCTTGATGCTTCAACTTTGATTCAGCTCTAAAACAAAATGGGTGCCGATGAGTTTAAGATTTTAGAGTCAGTGAGGAGGTGAAGAGAGTTGGTGGGTGGTGGAGATTAAATATGTAGAGTCGATGAAAAGTTGAGGTAAAGAAAATGATTTAAATTCATAAACCCGTAATTTTTTTTTATTATTTAAGGCATTTTTTGCCAGAAACTCCTTGGAAAATCCTTTACAAAAAATTCAATGCGATTATTTAAGGCATTTTTGACCAAAAACGTCTTGAATAATTCATTCAATAAATTTTTATAAGGGATTATTAAAGGTATTTTTAGCCAAAAATGCCTTTAATAATCTCCTATAAAAATTTTTTTATGGATTATTGAAGGCTTTTTTGATCGAAAACACCTTCAATATTCTTTTTTCAAATTTTTTAAAATGGATTATTGAAGGCGTTTTTGGCAAAAAAACACTTTCAATAATACATTCAATTTTTTGTAAGCTAATAATTTTTTTAGTTTGAGTCTATATTAATGGTTACGTTAATAACTGTTAGTATATAACATATTTATACTGATGGATAGTCATATACCGTTAAAAAAAATTTATTTATACTGACGGTTAAATAAAGTATTAGTATAAGTATGGTATATTTTGAGATATTAAAAAATGGTTAGTAAAAGTCTCTTTTACTGATAAAATTTAACTGTCAGTAAATAATTCATACAAAAAAATTTTTGTATGTATTATGGAAGACATTTTTGATCAAAAAGACCTTCAATAATCTCGCTTCAAAATTTTTTGAATAATTATTGAAGAACGCTTTCAATAATCCCATTTAATTTTTTGTAAGCCAATAATTTTTTTGTTTTGAACCTATACTAACAGTTACGTTAATAACCGTCAGTATATAATATATTTATATTAACGGATAGTCATATACGATCAGTAAAAGTTCATTTATACTAACGATTAAATAAAATATTGGTACAAATATGGTATATTTTAATGGTATTAAAAATCTATCAGTAAAAGTCTTTTTTACTGATGAAATTTGACTGTCAGTATAATCAAACATCAATATATGAAAAATATTTTGTAATACAAATTTCATTTAACAAACTCATGTTACATTGGGATTTTTAAAAATTAATGATTGAAAAATTCAATGATTACAGAAAAATTTATCCAAAAAATTTGCTAATACCCATAAATTGATCATCAATACCACCATTTTGTATCATTGTCTAAAGCAAAACTAAGTATAATGCCATAAAAATTCTAAATCTATGACCTCCAAAAAAGAATTTCTCAACAAAAAATTATTTTTAATTGTTTTTGTTGTGTTATCTTGTTGATTATTGTTAAATTCTAAACATTTTTCCAAATCAATCTTTCCAAAATATTTTAATATTTTCTTTATATTTTTTAATTTTTAATTTCTTTTTTAATTTTTTTCTAATTTTGACTTCTTAACTTTCACCAACTAAATAATAAATAATAAAAACACTATAGGAAAATGATTATTTAATGGTAGTTTTTTAGCAGTGTTTCACTAATAAACTCCGTAAACTTTTGTGTTTTTATAAAATTGTAGTATTTTTCTTTAAAACGCTATTAAAATCTTATATAACGACGTTTGTGTTTAAAAACACTACTAAAAGCATACTTTAACAACGTTTGTTGACCTAAATGTGCAATAAAATTATGATAAGTTATTAATATAAAATATTTATATTTTTTAAACAAACATTTTAGTGGCGTTTTCATCAAGAAATGCTGCTATATGTCTAATTTTTATACATTTTGCGGCGTTTATTGGATAAATGCCACAAAATAAATTTTTTTATTCTTATATAGCGGCGTTTTACTTTAAAACGCCACAAAATGCAACAAAAATGAAATTTTTCCTAAATTTCACTAGATGCCCCTTTCTCTATTTTAACTTTTACTTCTTCTTGCACCTTTCTTTCATTTCTGCTTGTTTTGGTTTTAGGGTTTAGCTTCCATTTCTGCTCATTTCTTCTCAAATTTTCAGTCCATTTTCGGTCAAGTTTCCTCTCTTTTTCTTCTGTTTCTACAAAGCTTTTTTGTTTTTGCTCAAGCTCATTTCTTGCGTTTTTTGTCGCCGTTCAAAAACAATTGGTAAGCTTTATTTCATACATTTTATTTTTCCATTCATTCCCTTATTTTTTTGAACCCCGTTTCTTCCTTTTTTGTTAGCCCACTGCTGGTGAAGCTTTTGAAACTCAAAATTTCAAGAAGGAAGGCCTTAGTTGAAGCTTCTGCTGGTTTGAATTTTCTGGTACAGGTAAGCTTTGAGTCGTGGAAAGCCTTTGATTTAGAGAAGACTAGGCAGGGCGAGAAAAGAGGTAAAGGTATTTTTGGTGAATTTGAAAGAGCAACCAAAACCCATTTTACAGCCTTCCAAAGACTTTCAACTCGAGAGAAAAGAGTGCAACTTTTAGGGGACCCAGACCTATGTTAGTCTCCATTTATTTTTTCTTGATTTGTTTTGTTTAATGTTGGGTTCGGTTTTGTTGCTTGTAATAGTTCTAAACTGTATTTCAAGAGATAACAGGCTGATTATTTTCTGCTTGAGTATTGTTGCCAGAATAGAACCTTCCAATTTTCATTTTTTAATTGTAATTTATGGTATATTGTTTAAGAACTAAAGAATGTTTTGATGTGTCTGTCAAGACACAAGCTTTGATTGGAATATTCTAAACTTGGAATATTAGTAGCGTAACCGTAAAGCATATTTCTTCTACTTCTAATTATGGATGTCTTGAAAAGAAAAAGACAAGGGATCTCTTCCAAAGTGTAATAAAAATTAATTTTTTGGGTTTAGGATGTTATTCATTTTGAAATTGGAAGTTTTCCTGAAGTTTAAAATTCAATTTTTGTTTTGTTGTTTTTCCTGCTCGGTGGTTATCATTTAACTAACATCATTTTCCTTTTTTTACATTTTGCAGTGATGCAGGGGCTGACCTATCAAATGCTGATCTTAGAGGTGCTGATTTTTCTTTGGCAAATGTAATAAAGTTAATCGTTTATTACATCTTAGGTGCATTTCTTTTCTTGAGGAAAACTCTTTTGAGCCATATCTGTTACCAAACAGATAAGTTATTGTTCTATCAGATGATCTTTTCTTCTGGATCCCTGCTTCGTTCCTACTGTAGGCAAATTTAAGCAATGCTAACTTAGAAGGTGTACTTGCTACAGGGAACACATCATTCAAAGGATCAAATATAACAGGTTCTGGTATGTAAAAGCTCCGGTTTACTCCCAATTTTAATCAGCTATATGCGTTTGACTTTTGAGGAGTAATGCGGTGCTTTTATGCAGCCTACAGTACCTTAAACATTTATATGTTTGTTCATAGTTCTCACTACGCACATCCTCTAGTTTGATGGACCATGCTTCACTGTTCAGTACTTCAAAACTGTTGGAGTAATTCTTCGGTTTTAATTGAATTTTACCAAAATGAGAGACTTGTAAATGAGTACTAGTATGGAAAAGGAATCACACCAACAAGGGTCCAACTAGGACTGAAACTTTTCAGGAAAACTTCATTCTCCAAAGTTTCACATTTGACTGATCTCAACTGAATAAGAGCTCATGCAAATTTTGTTATATCACAATCGGTTTATCTGATTTATATTTGTATTTAAAATGACTCCAATAAATAACCATCAATTAAAATTAAATCTAAAATCTTAAAGTAAAAAAAAAAAATGAACCATTACTAATTAAACTAATCACTAATCTCTCAAACAAATATATATATATACATATATATATATATATATATAGAGAGAGAGAGAGAGAGAGTATTTATTTGCTTTGTGTTGATTCTGCATTTCGTTAGTTATTATACCAATATATGTATTCTGGAAACTTTCTCGGAATAAAAAGGTCTGTTATTAATTAATGGAAAAAAGTGACAAGACTACATGATAAAAGCTAGAACAAAAATGAAATGAAGTCAAAGGAGAATGGAGTTGTAGAAAAGCATTGAAATTAAAAGGAGAGTTTGGAGAGGCAACATGGAGAGGTTCACTGCATCTCACAAACTGCAATTGAAACAAAACTGTTGATGCTTTTTAAGTTTGAAATAATTTGTTGAAGGATAATGACTTTCATGTGGGGAGGATGATGAATGCATTTATCAACTGTTTCGTATTAAGAGTGACGATTCATAGTCAAATCTATACATCTACTTATATTTGGCAAATACAAAACAAAATCATCTTTCATTTTTGCCTCTTTCTTCAGCATTCATTCATTTTTTCTTGCAAATTATACAGTCACAGGCCAAGGTGTAGCCCACCAGCTTTTGTCATCATATCAAAATGAGGAGTAAGAAATGTCTAACCCAAATACATTGTACAGAAAAACAAAACAGATTGATTAAATGGCGTCCATTGGATCAAAAAATTGGGAAGTGAGGAGCTAAATTTGAAGTTGTAAACTTTTATCATCCACTAATTAATTGTCAAATAAGTGAAATGATTCTATGTGATATTTTACATCATATACTAACCAACCCTTTTATTATTATTATTATGACATTGGCAAATAAAATATTTTCTTCTAATATTTCAGGACTAGTAGTGTAAGGACATTTTCATACATGAATTGGCATTTGAAAGTACTATTCTTCCATTAATTACTTGTCAAAATGGTCATGTATTATCAAAAAACAACAAAAGAAAATGTTATCTACTTATCTTTGAATTCTTACGAGGTTTCCTGGGGATAAGAATTTGTCAATATATTGTGATTAATATAATGCTTGCATGCGTGCATGCTTTCTCTTTCTTTCTCTCTTCAATGTGGTCCAGTACCTCCGCATGATCATGACTTGCTAGGACAGTGCAAAAAGGGATTAAACAGGCTGGCTCATAGTTTCTTTCTTCGAGAGGTATTGTGCTTTTTCGTTTGGCTCTGCCTTAGAGCAGAGCATTCTTTGGAACGGGATATTCATTCCTGACTGATTTCACAGGTGTGTATACTCTCAAGTAAAACTGTTGTCCAAGTATTTAAGTAAGCATTCAATTCATATTCAACTCAGTAAGTCAAGTTTAGAAGGTTTTATTTAGTAGTTTTTGTCATTAGTAATTTAAAGGCTTCAAGTTAAGAATATTTTAATATTAATAATTATTTTATATAATTTTAATTTTAAAATATATTTAAAAACTAAAATATTAATAATTTAAATTTATGCAAATTAAATGTAATGCACTTTAATGAGTAAATTGGATTGGACATAGACAAGATTTTAAAGATATCAATTAGGTCTAGTTCATTCAATAAACAGTTATCTTTAACAAAAGCACAAAATCAATTATAGACCCTCGTTCTAGGGCCACTTATCGCCGGTGCAGGGCCTTTGGGTCTAAGCCATATCCGCTTTTCTGAAGGAAAGAGGAGTTCCACGAATAGTCCTAGATAGATCCAACTGCATAATTGATATCTTTAAAATCTTTACGATAACAAACAGCTCATTCAATATGATAACATGATAAATGAATTTATATTTAATATATTATTGTGTATAAATGTTATATTTATTCACTATTACAGCATCATAAGTCACCATTTTATTAATTTATTTTAATATAATTAAATATTAAAATTTAAGAATATTTATTTTTAAAATTTTTAAAAATTTTAAATTTACTAATTAATGATATGCACTGTTAATATAGTAACTCACAGTGCATTCCACATGCAGTGTTGAAGAATTAATGAGGATAGAAAAATTATTTGAGATTTCCTTCTCGGGTGACAAATTTGATCAAGCATGGATCATTAGCCAAACAGAAACCATGAATAACAAGCCTTAAGCAATTCAACAGTGGAACCAGAGATGCGAAGTAACGAGCCTTGATGCAATTGCCATTCCAGGAGATCAAAAAAATCATCAGCTATTATTAAATATTTAATCCAATTTTTTTCATATAATATATATATATATCATAATGAATATGGTTAAGTTTAAGTATAGGTTTATTTCAATTTTTTATTTAATATCATTAAAAGATTGAATTTTCATTACTACAATTAAAATTTTAATATTTTTCTAACAAATTATCTGATTATTAGTTATTCTCAATGTCATGTTTTTTAAGTTTCAACATAATGCAAATTTGGTATTGTTTATATGTTTTGTTACAAAAAAAGTTTAAGTAAAAAGAAGTTATTTCATTTCAAAATAAAAGTACGTTGCAAGTTTGATTACTTACATTAAATTTATAAATCATTCAAAATTACTGTTAATAAAAATTGAATATAAACCTTATAAGAAACATTCGATCATTATTAATTCAAATAATGAAGCAAATTTGATGAGGTTGACTTCATATATGATTCCTCCTTTTTGGCAAAGCCAAACTATTATTGTTCATTTAAAATAAATAAAAAATTATTTAAGATTGTAGAAGCAGAGTTAGGTCCCTGTGGTGTTAATTAGGTCTCAAATGCATATTTAATTCTGGTTTAGCTTGATAGTTAGTTGTGTTAATTGTTAATTAATGTTCTTTAAATTGTGTTAACATTACTACTTTTGCTTTTTTAGTGGTGACGACATAAAAGACTCGTATTAATCCTTAATTACTTTTTTTTTCAATGATATATACACTCATTTGAGGACTGTAGAGAAAATCCTGGTTTAGATTTAAATATTTTAAACATGTAACGCATGCATTTGAGTGGAGCCATTGCGGCTAAGTTAAATTTCATGTAGTCTGGGCAAATTTGTGGGCTTTAGTTGGCGTCACAGTCACTTTAAATGTTTCAGGCCATGTGGGGAATGGGTAGATCAATTAAAGCTTAGCATTTTTATGCACAAAAAGGTGAATAAAAATCTGAGCACTCTCATTTTGTAAGGTTAAAGCTTTAAACATAACCCTACTAAGAATACTTAATCAAATATTTAAAAAATTAATGCTGTAATTAACTTTCTTAATAATTTAAACGTTAGCTTTTTCAGTCTATACAAAAAATCAAACAAAATTTAACTATGGCTCAAAGATATTGTTAAGGTGATTCATTTCACCCTATTATTAAGGATGGTAAAAATAAAGGTGTTTTAAACAATTATTTGTCAAATGCTATTTTGCCGAATATTGTTTTGCTTTTGTTCAACTGTTTGCTCTCAATTTTTTGCTTATTTTGTATATTAATCTGTAAAATTACTAATATGTTTCTTTTTCTTTTTTTTTTATTTTCAGTTTGAGATCAGATTTGCTTATCAATAATTGCTCCATTTCTATCAATCGTGTCTTTGCCACTAGTGTTTTGAATTTGTGAAGGTATTTCCCTTTCCAACAAATAATCACTTTTGATTAATTCATGTAACTTTTTAGGAGATCTAAATTTGTTACTAATTTAAGTGTAATAGTTAGCCTAATTAAGTGTGTTAGAGTTTGTTTTCATATAATTAATTATATAATTTTGGTGTGTTAATGCAGCAAGTACTAAATGGATAAGAATTTGATGCAAAAGTCAAGATTAAATCAAGAATATCAAGTGGAGTGAAAATTTTTTTTAATTTTGCATTTGATAATGCAAGTGAAGATAATAAAATATTATGCTCATGTTTGAAATATGCTAATATCGATTGGCAAATCCATGAAATTGCTTTGGAACATTTAATTTGCATTAGATTTATCTTGAGATATGTTAATTGGCATTTTCATGGAGAGTCTATATCATCAAGGTTATCGACTAAAGTTCCTTCAACTTTAAGGGCTCCCCAATACCAACATGATCCTATTAGACAAAATGATATAGAAGGTATGTTGCGGGATGCTTTCACTATTCATAACCAATATTTTTATAATCCATTTCCCTAAAATGATGGATTTAATGAGTCAAATGTTGAAATGAATGATTTTATGAACATGGGATAAGTGTAGGTGACTAATAATCTAGTGGAGAAGCATCAAAATTTTATAAGTTTCTTGAGGATATGAATAAAGAACTTTATGATGGATCTAAGCATTCAAAGTTATCTTTCTATGTGCCTTTTTTTCACTTGAAATGCTTATATCGATGGACGAAAAACTCTTTAACTTTATTATTGGAGTTTATGAAAGAAATGTTTCCTTTTGCAAAAATTCCTTAATCTTGTAAGGATTCAAAGAAGATGATCAAGGAGTTAGGTCTTGGTTATGTAAAAATTCATAGTTGTCTTAATGATTACATGTTATACTGGGGTGATAGAAAAAAATCAACAATCTTGTCATGTGTGTGGTAATTCTCGTTGGTTGAACACAAATCCTAAAGAAATGTTGAATGAGGATGATGATGAAATCCATGTAAAAAAAAAGCTTGTAAAGATTTTAAGGTATTTTTTATTAATACTGAGATTTCAACG